CAGGCCAAAGTGCAGGCGATCATCAATGCCGAACACACTAAAGGTGTCTACGATTTGCTGCTGGTGGAACAGTTCTATCAGGATGCATTTTTAGCTTTGGCACATATCTACAATGTGCCCGTAATCAGCACTGCCACATTTGCCAAGGAACATTATATGAGTCAAATGTTTGGCCTAATAACGCCTTGGTCATATGTGCCACATGGATCGCTGCCACTCACCGATCATATGAGTTTTTGGGAACGCGTACAAAATGTGTATAATTCGCTTGATACCGATTTTAGTAGGGAGTTGAAGTATTTTCCAGTGGTCGATGCGATGGTAAAAAAATATTTCGGACATTTATCGAGTGAGTAAATTAGTTTATAAATTATTGACATTGTTATCGGCATTACCATTATCATCGCTATCGTGATCGCAGAAAATTTGCTTGTTAAAGATAACCGGCGCTTTGACTGTCTGTCAAATTTGTCGCTCACATGCTTATAACTGGGCCTTTAGTAATAATTTTCAATACCAATAATGTTGAGGTTAACTTTGTTTAGTGTCATTTTTATCAAGCCGTAATTATTGTTTTTGTAGTGCCTATCTACATATTTTCGATTACTTTTATCATTATCGATTAGTCTAGCCCTCAATACCGTTATCGGCATTATTTCATATATTTGTTATCGATAATTCTCTAAATATTAATAGTAAGCTTAGAGCTCTTCAGGCTTTCAAATGCTGCCGTCTTAGCACAGAAGCTGGGTTTTATTCTACAAAAGCAAATGTAAAAGAAAATACGGTTAAGATGATAGAAAGATACCTTGGTTGCCTCATACCTAATTCGTTTTTTTCTTCTTCTTCTTCATTTAATTTTAAGTCAAATTCCCCAGCGCCTCAGCGATGGACAAAAATCTCTCTGCCATCTTTATCAATAACTACACACCTTTATCGACTGCAGGTCCAACCATGGACAATATGATAAATGTCGGAGGCATGCACATTTATCCACCGAAACCACTTCCCACAGAAATTCAATCGTTTCTGGATGGAGCTGAGCAAGGCGCTGTCTATTTCAGTCTGGGCAGCCAAGTGGAAAGCAAAGACATGCCAGTGGAAAAGCTTCTAATTTTTCTCGATGTATTTCGTAGTATGCAGCAGCGTGTCTTATGGAAATTCGAAAATGAAAGCATATTTAATATACCCGCAAATGTTATGGTGAAGAAATGGTTGCCACAAAGTGACATCTTTGCACACCCTAATGTACGCGTATTCATCACGCATGGCGGGCAGCTGGGCTTGCAGGAAGGTGTGCATTATGCAGTGCCAATGCTGGGTATGCCCTTCTACTGTGATCAGGTATGTAGATCTCAATCAAAGCAATACAAATTCTTCTTCCTCTTCCCCAACAGCACCTCAATCTGAAGAAAGCTGAATTTGGCGGCTATGCCGTTACCTTGGATTTCCATAAGCTTACACGTGAAACTTTGAAGGACGGTCTGCACCAGTTGCTCTTCAACGCCACCTATCGCGATAATATCAAACAAATTTCACACATTTTCCACGATCGTCCAATGGGGCCGCGTGAGACTGCACTCTACTGGATCGACTATGTGATACGCCACAATGGAGCGCGTCATTTGCGCGCTGCTGGCTTGGATTTGAAATGGTACCAATTCTATTTGTTGGATGTAGCTGCTCTCTTCATGGCTATTATGTTTTCAATAATGGGAATTGGTTTTGTATTCGTGCGTTGGCTGTTACGGCGCTGCAGCAGTTGGCAAGCCACAAAAGAAAAAACTCAATGATGAATAGTTTTCAAAAACCTCTGTCAATGAAAGTATATATCTATAGTTACTTTTAAGTTCTAGACTGGTACAATTACTAATTTGCAAATATATTTTTTTACGTAGAATTAACTGAAATAAAATTAATTCATCTGCCTGACTAAGCGAGTATTTCTTCGGTAGGAGTATTTAGTTTCGCTGTGGGCTATCGCCAGTTGAATTATAGCCAAAGCGAGCAGGTCAGCACTTCTTCCGACTGGTTGGAGATTTCTTTTGAATGGAGGTACTAGTCAGTTTGAAGTAGATTTAGTTTGGACCCCTCATGAGTTAGCTAGTTAGCCACATTGTTTTCAATACAGAATTGGATCTCACCCCCAATCGGAACCACCTATGAATGTATATGTGTATGTGTATGTACAGGGAAAATTTTCTATATCTCTAGCCAACAAATATATATACATACATATTATAGTTGCCAGATTTTCTTTTTCCAGCCAAACGGGACAAACCCATAATTTACAAAAATTTAACGGGACAAATGAGTAATAAAGGATTTGTTTTAAAAGCCCAACTATGAACCATACATTAACAAATGCGATCTATTTCAAGGTAGTAATGTTACAGACAAAACCATAAAAACGAAGTAAGAGAAACAGTTGCGCTCAAAATAATAGTAGCAAAATTCAAAATTATGCTGTTTTTAATAATCCTCATTTAAAATATGGGTCGATCTATATCAGATACCACATATTTAAATAAAAATTTCAAAACTTGCACAAAGTTCAAAAAATTAATTAAACTTAAAAAATGTGCATCAAAATTTCGATTTTTTTAATGAGATTCCCACGAAAGATTTCGATTATGCGATTTTATGGCTCATTAAATTTTGGTATAATATAGGGCAAGGTTCAAATCTTTGAAAATTACTGTTGATTTTTTAGATTTATTTTTTTTTTGTAGAGGGTGTTACGCATTTTCTCCATGTGAAAAAATTCTAAAAAATCAACGGCTAATACGTATACACACATATGTATATAAGTTTGTAATATAACAATCAACATATTATATGTGCTTTTGGTCTAAAAGTATGCAACACTTTATTTCTAAATGCAAAAGCAGTATTCACATTGAGTGTGTTAATCAACAGAGTGACGTATATGCCAAGTAAAGTCTGTGCCAAAATGATAAGTTCACCTCCATATTGCTTATGTCTTCAGCTGTTATCTAATTTATTCAAAAACTTACTAAATTCTTTAAAAGTAATTTTTTATTTTATTTTTACTTCCAAAGTGACTTGAGGTTATTTTCAACAGGTGGAAGTCAAAAATCAAAAAAGAAAACGAGTTTCTGGCAAACAGCCCATCTGAGCTTAAAAGAACGCATATTGACTAAAAAAATAAAAACTATTTTATGCCTGAACACTGAACATGTAATTAGTGATAGCGTTGTAAATTCGTTTAAACCGTTAAAAAAAATTGTAGGGGAAGGGGGCGCGGCACATATTAAGTATCTTGCCCGGATTTTCTCTTTGCAGCCCTGCTGATGGTCATCTGCAATAACGGCACAACTGAAAATTTCATGTCTTTAAGTTATATAGTGCATAAGGTCTCGACAACCATATTTTTCCTATGAAACAGCGACACATGTATGTATGTATGCTTAATTGTTACCAATCCTTTAGGGCCGGGAGCACAGTGGGCGATATGCATTCGCTAGCGGCGTTTAATTGATAACTTGCAAAGTAAACTAGATATCTTCAGTCGGTATTTTTAACACTCCAGAAAAATCAAAGAATGTAAAAAAATTTAAAAAAAACTTGTTAAAAGAAAATTTGAACTAAAATTATTTTTAAGTTAAATTGATTTTTATTTAAATAAACAAGTTTCATTAGTTATTCATTTCTTTGCAAAAAATTACAACAAATTCATATCTGCAAAAAAAAATGTTTTTGTTATTTTTCGGCCTTATAACAAAAAATAAAATTTTTCTGAATCTGAGCTATCACAGACTGACGAATCAGTATTTGCAGGTGTTTCTTTTTCAATCAACTGCAGTGGCATATCTAGCCATACCTGGTAACGTTTCTCTAAATGCACCCTATTTTTACCACAAGTCTTCCATCTTTCCGCAAGCCTGCTATTAAAATTTCGCAGTTTTCTATAAATTTTGCAATGCTGCTGCTTACTTAAAATAACATTATTTAAAAATGTACCTAAAGCATAGTTTTTCATAGGGAAAAACTTCTTTCTGTGAAAAATATACAAAACGCTATCAGAAGAAACACTTGCTTGTTTGAAACTTTCGGGCGCTTGAAGCAAGTGAAGCAAAGCCGCCATTTGGCTTACCTTCATACGTTTGGTTATATTTAAAGCAAGATTTAAAATAATTTTTGACATTTCTCAGAGTTAAGCAATGATTGATGATTTTTTCGGGTTTTCCGGATATCTTATATAGTTGTTTGTAACTTTTCCGAAACTTGCAGGACCCTTTTCGGTTTATTTCACGACTTTTCGTGTTTATTTCGAGACTCTTTGGAAACTTTAAGCTTTAACGGTACTTCTAGCTGTTAGGGGTTCTTAAAATAACCAGCAAATATCTCCTTAGTTCAATTTTTTTTTTTTATGAAATAGATAATCGGTAGGTGGACTTAAAATAAAATAAATAGAATCTTTGGAAATGAAAAAAAAAGTTGTTTTCAGCACCCTGTAAAAACAACGGGAATGTAACTGTGTAAAAGTTTGTTTGCCTTTTTTCTTAATACATAAAATAACATTTTCCATTTTGTTTATTTATTTATTATTCACTAGTCGCTGGCGATCGGTGTCAGTAAATAAAAAGAGTCAATCACTCAAAATATGTACACAGAAACAAACAATGGTGTGATAGGTTGATTCTCGTATACAGAATTTATTTGCGGAGATATAGCGTCATGTAAATTACAGAACTCTATATAAATTTTTGTGTTCAATCTGATTAGGCTTCAACCATAATGATCCCCAATTAGGGTTTCACATTACACCGAATGTACAATTCAAATATTTATATCACTAGCAAGTACAGTTTTTTGTAAGTCATGCTTACCTATTTTTGCATGACTTAGTGAATACCGTCAAAATTAATTTTAAATTACAATGTAGGTATCCTCATCAACATCGCCAACGGGTTAGTTGGGAATTGAATGGGGCAAAGTAGAATTACGAAGCATTTTTACATCAGTATGAAAGAAGCTGCACGCGAAGCAAGATTGTAAGACAAATGTGAATGAACGCGAAGTGTACGCAAATAAAATATATATATATGCATACGTACTTATGAACAACGGAAAAAATTAACTCAAAAACTGTAAATTAAATTGCTTCTTAGTACTTGCAAAACTAAACAAAATGGTAAATAAAATAAATAAACACAATCGACGCTGCTTGTTTCAAAAGCTCTGCAAACAAAGAATAGTTTTATAAAAAAAAAATTATATTATCCCTGGACATGCTTATTTTGCATCAAAGTAATATTAAAAAAAAAAGTGTGAATAAATTTTTACTATAGTAAAATTTATTTTCAAAAATTTTTCATTACATTGATAAATACAGCCCGTGTCATAATTATAAGCGCACCAAAAACTAAAAAATGTTTTCAAATAAATTCTTTATTATTAAATTTTAATAATCTTTTATTAAAATATAGTTTATTCTTTAACAAAACCCATGTAAATCAAAGTTTCAAACTTTGTGCAATATTAACAAAAAAATAACAAGCTTTGATAAAAATTTTAAGCTTTTTAATTCAATTTCTTAGAAAGATTTCGAAAATACAAGGAAACTCATAAATAGGCCAAGCTAACCTAACTTAACTAAACAATTTCACGCGAAAAATATAAATATCATGGCACAGGTTTATTAAACTGATTTTTAGTACAAAATTCAGTCAAGTCTTCTACAATCATTCAAATATACATATGTACATAAAAAAATTGCCAAGTCCAAAAAAAAGAAACAAAAAAAAGAAAGAAGGAAAAATCTATGTAGTTTTGCATTATCTGTCATTCTGCATCTAAAACTAAATTTTGAAAAAATGTGGACTTGGCCATGATACAAAAAACAAGGTAGTTCCATTGTCACTTTTTCGTCGCCATATTAACAACCTGACAATTAAGCAGATTGTGACATTTCGTGCTACCATACCCAATATCTAAAATCCTTCAAATTTTCTTATTAATGTTTTGTCGATTTAAAAATATTTTGTTCTTAAGCATAGCATAATAAGAAATAAACAAGAAATAAGTATGAAATTCCACAACATTTCCTTGAAACATTTTTGCAACATGAAGCTAGCAACACAATTTTCATGACATTTTTAAATACACATGTATATTTTAAATTGTGTGAAAGCTGACAGTTTATAGAATTCAGTAGCGACGAAAACAAAGGGGGGTTAAGTGGTTAAACCTTACCCAAGCCGAGCATAAAACTTGCGACAGAATTTCGGCTTATGTCTGTGGGTCTTGGCAAGAATGTAACCCCTGAAGGTTTAGCTTAAAATGGTTTTCGGGATACACCCTGTGATCTATTTCCTATTTCCAGAAGGTGTGGCGCCCGTTTTTCTGTACATATTTTCGTTGGAAAAATACCTTATCACAGTATTCTAGGTAAATGCTTCCAGAGGTATTTATGCGTCACCAGAATTTTAGTTTATTTGGCTTATACCGCTAGCTCTTTTCAACGGCTACGAGATTGTTTTCATATACCCCCATTTTTCATAGGTTTGGGATTGATTTCATTTACCTCTATTCCTAGTTCTACGGTGGCACGCCGCATTTTCCAATAAACTCATATTTTTCCATGAGCTTGAGATTGACTTCATATACATATATCCATACAAAGTTCCAGGACTCTACCACAAATACTTCCACAGATATGCACTATGAAGGGAAGTTCTACACGCCCTTTAGACATCGGTTTTGTTTTAGCCTATAACTATTATTGGAAAACTTGTGTCCGAAATTTCAAAAAAAAAAGCCGGTATGGGCATTATGACTCCTCAAGCGAAATGAAGTAATGATTGCAAAAAATGAAATCAAACATCGTAGTTGACCAAAAAAGAATATTAGACTTCATTCTCTCAACTTCTCAGAATGTAGAAAAGCTAAGAAATATATAATAAGATAGGATATATTAAAACAGCCTCCAAAACATTTACTAAAGACGCCCCTGGACTATACAAATCAGTTTTATTGAAAATTTGTTTTTATCTATTTATTTTATCCTTCAATTTTGGGTGTGTCAAAATTTCATGTGAAAACAATATGTGTTGCTAGAAAAATTTTACGGCCCATGGGTTCCAAAGTATATTCCATTGCTGTTAAATGGACAAAGACAACATGTATTAAATAACACATCGAAATGTGTAATTTCAGTAATTTGTGTAAATGTGTAATTTCAGAATTACATCAGAATCACGTATCCGATATAGAAAACTACATTGTGAAATAATGAGATGACATGAGGACACTAACATAATTTTAAAATATGTTCACTAAAATTGTATTAATATTAAAATAATGATTTGGCAAGTTGTTATCGAATTTAATGTAAAATTTAAACGTTTTCAAGATAAGATATTGATTTTTTAAAAGGTATATATTAATACAACAATTTTTTTTATAATCCCAAATTTAGGATATAAAATGTCCCACGCCAAAAAACTTACAATTGGGTAATGCCGCTTCGAATTTTTCACAATTGAGCAATTGTCAAAAATCTGCTTTTTAATCAAAAAGTTGTTTATTGAAACTACCTCCTTTTTTGTATCATGTCTAAAACTAAATTTTGAAAAATGTGGACTTGGCTGCTTTTCAATTTTAGGTAGCAATGTTCAATTGTCTCATTGGATGAAGACTCAAAATCCTGCATGCTTTCTTGATCCATTTTATAGTTATAATATGTGTTTAGCAGCCGTCGAAAAAAAAAATTATTTACATACATGTGTGGTTGTTCCTTATCAGCGAAACCGCTCACCTTTCACCAAGATGATTCATCAAATACAGCTAAAACGTGTGTCATCAAAGGTAATATCCCAGAAAAAAAAAACACTAATCCGGGATGACTACCACTTTTGAACTCTTTGTACTAGTATAGAATAAACTGTACTCTCTTCTTCGAATAGGAATGAAAAGCGAAAATTCACTTTTAAAAATTAACAATAAAAATTTGCGCCAGCTAAGATTCTAACAGCGAACCGGTTTGCGTACATATCATTAAATCGTGAGGACTAATTTAGCTCCAGTTTTACTTGTAAGATATGAGTCGAGAGTAATTCATCTCCAAATGTACCTAAATCGAGACTTATATCGGAATACTTTTCTCAGAGATTAGTCGCTCTATTTTTTGCTGGGATATGTATTACGTTTACAAAAATTGCACCCATAAATAAATATAATCATCTGTATGTAAATAGCGGACGATTTAAAATCAACTTCATAAATTCTAATTAGCCATTTAATAATATTTACAACAAATTGACTTTTTTTAAATTTTGCGTGCTTGTCGCTTATTAATAACATCACGTTTCCCTATTTGAATAAAATTAAGTAAAACATGCAGGTAAAAGTTGTTATTAATATAAACACTATAACAAAATAATCACTTAGACTCCAATTAATGATAAACCAGAAAACTACTGGAATAGAAAGGAGAAGCAAAAAACAAAAAAATACAGATTTGGAATGGGCACGGGACAAAAATTTCAATCCCGCACATCCCGAAATTCAATTTTTAAGTCCCAAGCCCGGCCATCCCAACGTTTTTTAGAATTGTACCGTGGATCCCGTGGGTCCCGAAATCTATCACGAAGTTGAATTTACATATCTTTAAAATTAATCTTGGTGAAATTATACCAGGTGTAGTAATGAGAGCGAGAAGAAAAATTTTACACTATCTTATTTGGAAATTTGCTTGAAAAAAATTTCAATAATATAGCCGAATGTGTTGAAAACACAGAAAATAAAGCGAGAAAGCTGCTTATTTACTACGCCTGTTTTCAATTTAACCATGAAAATTAATGAAAAACAAGTAAGAAAGTCTAAGTTCGGGCGGAGCCGAACATTAAATACCCGGCGCAATTATTAAATATATGTTTTCCACCTTTCCGAAAGCTACCGCTACACGATAAGCAGGGGTGTATAAATTTTAAGTAAATTAGCGTCCTTAAATTTCGAAATATTGCAGTTTCAAGCATTTCTGAAATATACCGTTATATGAAAAGCGGTCGTAATTTTAGTCCGACTTCAATAATTTTCAACGCTTTGCTTTTATGTGGCAAGCACAATAACCATACCGAGTTTGGTACAAATTGCTAGAACGGTTAGCGAGATACATATATGTGATCACAAGTGGGCGGTGCCACGCCCATTTTCAAAAATTGTATCATAAACATATTTCTTGGTAAATAATTGTTGCAACCACCAATTTTGAATAAATTAGCTTTAATATTTACTGATTTATCGAAGATTTGTATTTCTCAAAATTACCGTTATATGGGATGTGGGCGTGGTTATTGTCCGATTTTAAAAATTTTCAGCCATTTGGTATGCTGTACTAGGACCAACAACTGTGCCAAGTCTCGGTGGAGACGTTGCCAAGATATACACATGTAACCATAAGTGGGCGTGGCTGCGCCCATTTTTCAAAAGTTTATAATATTCTTATTTTTCGTCTAAAAATTATTGTAAATATCAATTTTGAGTGAATAATCTTCAGTAGTTACTAAAATATCGCAGTTTTCGTATTTCTGAAAATTACCGTTATATGGGAGGTAGGCGTGGTTATTGTCCGATTTCGCCCATTTTCAATACCATCCGTCCTACGCCCAAAGTTCACGTACCAAGTTTCGTTAAGATATCTCAATTTTTACTCGAGTTATCGTGTGCACAGTCGGACGGACGGACGGACGGACGGACGGACGGACAGACAGTCACCGCTTAATCGATTTCTCTTTTCATTCTGATCATTTATGTATACATTTGTCTATATCTATCTCTATTCGGTTTTCCTGTTACAAACAACCGTTATGTGAACAAAGTTATAATACCCTCGTGCAGAAGTGCGCTCGGGTATAAAAAAAAAGATAGTCTGACATTTTGAGATTATTGAGGCGTATTCTTGTTTTCGTACAAATCGAAAATTCTAAATTTTTCTATAGAAAATTATAGGAAAATTTCAAAATTTTCGATTCGTACGAAAACAAGAATACGCCCAATTATTACTTATGTTTTGCTTTGCTCTCCGTTTTCGTGTCAATAAAACATAAAAAAGTGTTTCTTTCATAAAACGTTTTTAAGGAGGATTTTCTGAATTTGACCATACCACCTTACAAGCAAACAAACAAACCTCATAAACATCCGCGTCTAAAGTATTTTTGAAAGGGAAAAACACCTACATTCGGCAATACAACAATTTCTTGAATTGGTTCTACTGGAATTATCGAAATAGTTACTTAGCAAACTTTGAATGGTTTTTGGTGACCTTTAATTTATCGACATTAGGGTGATCGCAACTGGGATCCGGGCTACCTACTTGAAGTCAATGAACTTTGGAACAAAATCTATTGCCTCGTTAAGACAGGAAAATCGATAAATCATACTTTGAATTCACCCTGCAAATCGCGAAGGTATTTGAAGAAAAATGTTAAAAGACGGAAAAAGTTTCTTCTTTACAGACTCAGGCTCAGGAGTTTACGGCGAAACTTTTTTCCTGGTACGGTTTAATGTACACACTTATGCATATGCATATATAATTAGTTTCAAAGTAGAGAATTTTAAAGCTCAGTTATGCCAGACTTAGTCTTGACTTGACTTGACTTCTAAGTTAAATTTCTAAGTGCAAAGAGAGCCGTGAGAAAATCATAGTCCAGTCCGCAGCCAGTTCAATGCCCAGCGCTCTTCGAGCAAGATGTCTATAGGGGCAATTTTCGGGAGTGTCTGTAACACCTCCTGGGGCAACAGATAACATTTGGTGCAACCGTTTCCCACCATACCAACGTAGATAGATGAAAAAAGCCTCAACTGCCGATGCGTTTACAAAATAATATTATATTATCTACGGTCGTAGCCGCCAGTACTTCGCAACGGCAAACTTGCAGGACTAGAGCGCATTAAGCGCTTTGCTTATCCGCTCTTCAGCATTCCTTTTCCCAGAAGCTTTCGAGTCGAAAATAGTCACCAAAAATTGAGCTTCGGTAATTGTTTTCGGTTTTGTGATTTAACCTCGAAACGAAACCGATTTAGACCAGTTGGGAGGTAGAATTTTTCACTGCTTTTAGGAAGAAGCTTTCAATTTTTTTTTTTGTAAATTATTCAATGAGAGTTCTTATCTCGCTACTCAGGCATAGGAAAGACTAAAAAACAAAATTTATTATCACTTGTAGAATTCGGGAATACTTAGAGGCTTGCTTGCATTGGCAGCACTGTTATCCAACACTATCTCAACCAATGGCGCCAGGATACTTGCAGTCTATTCTTTTCCCGGCAAAAGCCATTTCATGATGCAAAAGGCATTGATTAAGGAATTAGTTGAACACGGAAATCAGGTACGTAAAATTGTCCAATACTTTCCCATAACTTACTTTTCCTCACTGCGCCAGGTGACAATGATTACAGCATTTAGTATGGCGCCCATGAAACTCGGCAGCAACTATACAGAAATATTAATTGAACCGGTTTACGATTTCTGGAAGGATGGTGCGTAGTTAATTAGAAGATGCTTCAGTACAGCAAACCAAAAAAAAACCTCTCAAATTTCTCATTAATTTTCAGTCAAAGAAGATGCTGGTGCCAAGAGTATATTCGACATGACAACCATGGATTTATTTGGCTTCTTACAAATGTTGCAAGTGCTGGGCACAACCACCACAGAGCATGCGCTCAAACAACCCAAAGTGCAGGCGATCGTCAACGCCAAGCAAACTGAAGATATCTACGATTTGCTGCTGGTCGAACAATTCTATCAGGAAGCATTTCTTGCACTTAGCTATATCTATAAAATTCCAGTGGTGAGCAGCAGCACACTGGGCTATGAGAATCATATGAGTCAAATGTTTGGCATAATGTCGCCATGGTCATATGTGCCACATGGCTTTCTGCCCTTCACCGATCGCATGAGTTTTTGGGAGCGTTTGCAAAACACTTTCTACTCACTTTGCGAAGATTTACATCGCGAATACAAATATTTTCCGTTGATGGATGAATTGGTGGCGAAGTATTTCGGACATTTGCCGAGTGAGTGACTTGGTTTCGAGGACGACTTAAATTTAATTAGTATCTACGCATCTTATTTACAGTTGATTTTCCAAAGGTTAGTGTGATGGAAAAGCATTTATCGGCAGTGTTGCTAAACAGTTACGTCCCATTGACCAGCACGCGACCCACGACCAACGCTATGATACCAGTAGGGGGCATGCATATTTATCCAGCCAAAGCGCTGCCGGCTGATATGCAGAAATTTCTGGATGAGGCTAAGCATGGCGCCATTTACTTTAGCTTGGGTTGAAATTACCAGTACAGAAATTATTATTTTATTTAAAATATTTTTTTTTACTACTCAACAGGCAGCAATGTGGAAAGCAAAGATATGCCAGCAGCATACCTAAACATCTTTCTCGACGTATTTCGTGACATGAAACAACGCGTTTTGTGGAAATACGAAAATGATAGCATTCAAAATTTACCCCCAAATGTTATGGTGAAAAAGTGGATGCCACAAAGTGACATTTTGGCGCACCCTAATGTGCGCGTATTCATCACACATGGCGGGTTGTTGGGCACACAGGAGGGCGTACATTATGCCGTGGCAATGCTAGGCATGCCTTTCTACTGTGACCAGGTGGGAAATTGTCAAAATATTTGTCTCTCTCTACAACCCACTATTTCCTTAACCATTTTTGTTTTCGTTCGCCAGCATTTAAATTTAAAGAAAGCTGCTCTGTCGGGCTATGCCATTAGCTTACATTTCCAATCCATCACTTACGATGTGCTGAAAAATGCGCTCACCGAGTTGTTGGAAAATCCCAGCTATCGCGACAACATAAAGCGTATCTCACGCATTTTCCACGATCGTCCGCTTAGTGCGCGTGACACTGCCGTCTATTGGGTTGAGTATGTCGCGCGGCATAAAGGCGCCGAGCATATGCGCGCTGCGGGTCTCGATTTGAAGTGGTACGAGTTCTATCTGCTGGATGTAATTACTTTTGTGATTGGAGTAGTGGTTGTGGTACTGGCTTTGTTTGTTGGCTTGCTGCGTTTCGCTTTGCGCCGACTTGGAAGTAGTAATAAGCAGAAAAAGAAGTTGCAATAATCCACTTTACGTAAGCAGAATGTTTGCAATTAAATTTTTTTGTAACGCAGTTTATTGTTTTTTTTTTAATTCTTTTTAACTCAAATGAAATTTCAAGCTCGAGTAGTTACTGGCCTAGACAGAGAACATCGCTAATGAGTAGTACACAAAAATGTTGAACAAGCTAACAAGTACACAAAAATGTTGAACAAGCTAACAAGTATCTAGTGTTGCATACTACTAGGCGTTTGCACAAACGAGAAAGTTAACAAAAAGGCGATTGACGACTCGATTATAAAACCCACTGGCATCAAACTCTTCTTCTTCTTATTTGGCACTACAACCGTTTGTCGGTTTGGGCTGAGACCAAAAAGCGTCTCCAATTGCTTCTCTTTTGTGCGAATTTGCGCGAGTTGGTTATGCCGAGCAGGACAGGTATACAATAATGCATAAACCGCAGCATTTAAGCTTCTTTTTGTTCATCCTTCGAAAGCGGCTCTGAAAGAGAAAACAGGATATGTGTGTCAGTACTCCTCTTGCGGGCCGTTTTCAGGATTTTACGAATGGCTATCGCTTGGCCCAGTTTCGCACAGATAAAGTCCAATCAGCCGTTCCCATAATACATCCACGATAGCTGGCACATATATCAAGGATGCCTTTCTTGTAGATTGATCAAAGAAGCTGACACGCAGACCATCGGCTCTGGCGGATTTGGTTATTTTTGAACCGTGCTATTGATTTTGTTTAAGCAACGGACATTTTAGTCAGCGCACTATGGTCTGGCGACAATCATTTGCTGGCTCAGGAAGTAACAAAACTGATTTGAAACTTAGTATTTTGGGGTTTTGGAGGTCGTTGATTTCGAATCGGAAATCAGATTTTTTTAAATTCAAAATGGCGGATCCAATATGGCAACCAAATTTTACAATTTTTTTCCTTTTGACCAAAAACTTATATATAAGGGCGGTTTTCGAGTTCGTTGATTTCAAATCTGATGTCAAATTTGTGAAAATTGGAAACGGGGGATACAATATGGCGTTATCGTCAAAAAAATTTAGTTTAAAATAGCAGACCATATTTTTTCTATATAGTTTCTTATAATCATAGGTGCTTCAAATGGAAATGAAGTCTAGAAAAAAAGAAGTCTGATGAGGAGATGTGGTGATCTCCGAAATAGTGCTATAACTTCTACCACTTAGGCTTTGTTGCTTTTTCAATTTTTCCTAATAAACAATCGTGGTACAAAGCACAATAAAAATATTAAAAAGGAAATTTTTCTCTTTAGGTTTAAGTATCACGAGTGCTTGTATTTGTGTTTAATTTGTACAAACTTGTACTTATTTATAGGCTAGGTATAAAGTTTGAAAAAAATAACGTAACGTACAAGTTTAAA